ATCTCTCAAGATGTATAATACTTGTCCAAAGTGTGATGTGGAATTTTCGAGACAGTATGATATGTTGAGACATTACAAGATAGACACAAAATCAATCAACCATATCCACCGAGCAGTCATGCGTATCCACCACCACCACCGCCGCCGCCTCAGAATTTAGTTTTACAACACCCGTTTACCATGATGTTTGTTAGACCTACAGGGTCATTGGGTTTCTCTGTTTTCTATCAATAGGCCGGGAATTTTCACTTCTAGGAAAACCTCGCACAGAAAGGATAGTTTCGCCTTATAATTATAGCCGCATAGTTTTGATGTATTAATTAATATTAACTAGTTGTAACTGCACCGGTAAAGATATATGAAGATTACTCTAATTAATTAATCACATACTTAGTGATGCAACACTGCATCATGACGTCATTTACTAGGGTGGTTAACTCTGGGAGGTTTGCATTGTAAATTTTGCGCCATAACCGGTAGTTTGGTAACTACTAATTGTTTAGTTGTTTTCTTCTTGAACGTAAATGAAATATTTGCTTACGGACTTAAATCAAACAACAATCAATCAATTTCTTGAGGTGCCCTAAATCTAAATATCATATTTTTTTTCCATTTTACCGGTTACGTATGATCGTTTAATGTCATCTTTCTATGCTTAGACCAGGTGCATATTTTTTTCTTCTTTCTTATCATTCGGTTTTACCTAGTTCATATGACTCCGTCTCCAGCACAGATAATTTCATGATTATATAATTTCACTAACACTTTTTGTGTATATAAAAAGTAAAGAATTAACAAGAATTTCTCAGGTTTACGAAACAATTTTAATTAATGATATAGGTCATGTAGTCATTTTCATTTTTTATAGAATGTATACGAATCGGAAATGCTTAAACATTATATTATCATATATTACTGAACGTTCTTATCAGAACATAAACTTACTTATGCTTGTTTGGTTATTTAATTTGGTCCCGCGGTTATGATAAATCAAACGAATTTCGATCATTTTTTCGAAAATGCAATTAAAAATTATTTTTTAAAATATAAATACATTTATTGTTTTAAAATTCCTCTGATTATTGCTGATTTGTAAGCAGTTGTATAAGCATTTATTATTCATATCGATGTTCGTTACAAACAACTTAAAGTTGATGATTGATAAACAGTATTGTAGTTTTAGCTTCACATAAAGGTCTTATAATTCAACATAAAACAGTATGGAAACAATGAGTTCTTAGTATAACCAAAGATGCAAAAAGCATATATCATGGTATAAGACCAAGTTATTGATGTCACCCTTTCGTGCAGACCAATCAAAATCGATAATTTGAAGGACAATGGACTGAATTTATATCAATAATTTTAAAGACTATGCTCAAGTTCTATGTTTTGGGTCAGAAGTTATTCATAGACTGTCAAAATTAAAACTACATCTTGCTTTACTTTTGATGTTTTATTTTAATAACTGTAACGTTGTTATGTGCATGCCGTCATAGTTAAGTAGTGTAATTTGAACATAAAATTTAAAAGACAATAAATTAAATAATAGAACATTCAGTATAACAAATTAAATAACACATAGCTGAGAGGGTGATAGATCAGATTGGTACCCCTCAAAAAAGCATTGTCAAACTTGGCTTTGCCTCCATTGACAATGTTTTGTCGGGGTAACAATCTGCTCTATCACCCTCTCAGGTATGTGTTATTTATTTAATAACCTCGGTGGTTAACGTATCTTACTAGTAAACTTAAAGTGGCGATCCAAGAAAAGAAAACCGACAAATAAAAAGTTATAACATGCTTACAATGTCTTCTTGTTGGTACAGTTGGTTCCTGACAAAACAATACCTTGTCGTCTAAATATATGTGTATCTTGAGTTTCATTCTTCTTGGTCAAAAAACGTTTTTAATTACATTAAACCTTTGAAATGAACATTAAATTCATCATGAGGAAATGAAGTTTAAAATTAAGTAAAGTGGAATGTTTTGGTACCGTTTCTAAAATAAAGGGCCGTTTTTCTCGGATTAGATAATACAAATCTAATTCACAATACTAAAGAAATCGACTTTTCACATTTCTTCAAATGTCCCTTTGTTCAGCTCGGTTTTTTTACTCGTCTTGAGAGAATCTAACACAAACAAAAACTGTGTAGATTCATTAAAACCCCGTTGTGTGTTTGCAGATTGGCTAACCAATGTAAAAGAAAAAGTCAATGACGGAAATGTCACAGAAGGATGAAAAACCAAACTTTTCAATTGTCTCCACCGTAGGTACTATGGATTTATTATTAACCGTTGCATGTCGTGGGTACAGGGGAACCACTGATTTAAATTTTCAATGAAATACAAACTTTATATAGGAATATATGCAGACTTTGGAAAAACCACGAACAAAATCAATTGATTCACAGTATTGTAAAGTTTGAAAGGATTTGGGGCATTGTCAACATGGATTTGCCATATTTACAAAGACGTAGACACCGTGTTCTATCAAAACAAATTTGTACATTTCGTTTAAATATATTGTTCTGAAAGAGGTTTTGCAGGGATTTCCACCATTAAACATTCTTCAATTAATCTATACAAAACGGGAGCTGATGTATGAACTTGTAGCTCGGATTGAATTTTTCTGCATTGATAAATTTTCAAATATTGATCGAATGCAATTTGATATGTTTATTCTTGTGTACTATTTGACATGTTCAGTATAATTTATCAACTATAAACTATGATTGTGTTAAGTATATACGTTGTCTTTGTTTCTTTTTATATGATTCATGTTTGTATTCATTACCACTAGATTAAATAAGACATGTGTTTAAATTCAAGTGTTGACGTAATGGGGAACCCCACTAATCTACTACAGATCAAGGTAGTAAATGGTAACATTGTGACCACAAAGTTTTTCAATGTTGCAAAATTTTCAACCCCCACTTAAAGTTTGATTGTATTTCATCAACTCTAGAATATCTATCACTGAAGGTCACAAATAATGCAAAAGAACGACTTAAAACCAACTATATTCAACAGTATCTTTTTTTTTTCAATACATGTATATCAGTTATCGTACTTTAAATCTTAAGGTTTATTAAAAAGAGACAAAAGATACCAGGGAGTAATTCAAATCCCGTATGTCGAGGAGGAACTGCCAACACCAAGGAAAAAGACTAAACACAACGAAAAGGCAAAGAAGTTCGCTGACCAGTTAAACATTTAAAAGTCACTTTGAGTGTTTGTGTTGTACGATTGCGAAGTATTTTGAAACATTTGCTCTTCAACTGTATTGGTACTTATACATCCGCGGCTTTCAAATATTTGGCTTTGAGCGTTCTTGATGAAGGTAAATCCAGAAAAGCGCTTCGGACGCATGAAATCATTAATCGTGTTGTTTTCAATTTTTTACAACACTGGGTCGATACCTCTGCTGATGGACTATCAGTCCCGAGGGTATCATCAGCTCAGTAGTCAGTACTTCGGTACTGACATGATTTATAACAAACCTTTCTAAATTGTCCGTTTATAAATTTTGAAATTATAAAGAAACTAAGGTTTCATCTCCATCAGGCAAAGTTGACCTTAGATGGATTTGGCTATTTTTTAGGTATTTTTTGTCATATAGCTCTTCAACTGTTTTGATACTTATACATCCTCGGCTTTAAAATATTTGGCTTCGTGCGTTCCTGATGATGGTAAATCTAGAAAAGCGCTTCGGACGCATGAAATCATTAATCGTGTTGTTTTCAATTTTTTACAGCACTGGGTCGATACCTCTGCTGGTGGACTATCAGTCCCGAGGGTATCATCAGCTCAGTAGTCAGTACTTCGGTACTGACATGATTTATAACAAACCTTTCTAAATTGTCCGTTTATAAATTTTGAAATTATAAAAAAAACTAAGGTTTCAACTCCCTCAGGCAAAGTTGACCTTAGATGGATTTGGCTATTTTTTAGCTATTTTTTGTCATATAGCTCTTCAACTGTTTTGGTACTTATACATCCCGGCTTTCAAATATTTGGCTTTGAGCGTTCCTGCTTCCTACTGAAGGTAAATCCAGAAAAGCGGTTCGGACGCATAAAATTATTAGACGTGTTGTTTTCAATTTTTATGGTTATATATGTATATGTTGTGTACAAGTTATCATTTTGTACAAATTATAATTTGTATTTTGACTTTGTACAAATTGTATATATTCTTGACAAAAATTTAAGGACCACTTATATTTGATATAAAGTTATTCCATTTTCATCAAGGACAACGGGGGAAACTACTGATCTTAGAATCATATCAATGTTATGCCATAAATTTCCAAACATTATCAAACCTTTAAAATTTTCTGTTATCAACTTTTCAAAAATCACTATTTTCCCAAAAAATCTTATTTCTGTCAATTTCAGGGAACTATTATGCCATTTAACCGTTTCAATAGCAAAAAATCGTTTTGTCAAGTACCAATGTTCTTTAGAGGGAAAATCAAAACAATTTTTCAAGTCACTTTTTGAAAATGACGCAGTCACATTGGTAATGTGAACATTGTAAAATTTAGCGTTTTAACTTTTTCAGTAAAAAATACAGTTCAAAAGAAAGGACTCTTTGGTACCAGAATCAGTCTTACCTCATAACATTTTATGCAAGGTCTTATTTTAAGGACCAAAATCGTAATTCAGAAATCTTTATTAAAAAAATTGTGATACCACTTAGAACTTCAACTTCATAAACTTCTCACACTCCTCTGTGTCACTCTTAAGTCCATGGCTGCTATAGAAGATTGTCATAGAGCAATGTTAATACTATTTTTATGAATTTAAAATAAAACAAGTGGTCCAATACTTTTTTTGTTGAGAATGTATATAAGAGTCTATAGAAAACAACCGACCAACAAATCTTTTTTATTAATATCTTGATTACTATCTTTATAAAGATCTTTTGACTTGTACATATATATTTATTTTGTAATCATATTTGATGATGTGGGTTTTGTATGTGTATATGTATTTGTGTATGTAATACTTCTCGAACGGTTATTTCAATGGTATTCCCCTTTAATGAATGTACGTTGAAGTGTGTTTCCGACAGATAAATAAAGTTATCGATGCATTTTACATTGACATATTTTTAAATGCACACAGGTAATCGTTGATGTATAACAGTAGAATTTCTTAAAACCACTGTACTATATTTGGAATTTAATCATGGATAAGTGAAAACGTAGTTATTTACTACACACGTATATATAATACATACGTAATGCACTTCAAGAAAGAATACTGCATCTAAGATGATTTACGCTACATTGCTGCTTGTTTTAATTGACTACGTGTTTTCGTCCTGTGTTTTGATGGCAAATATAACAAATAATGGTGAGTAGCTTACATCACATGCTTATTTTGATTATGTAATAGCATTTATTTTAAATGGTAGGGTTAGACAGAGCAATTATTTGACACCTGAAAATGCAAACATAGTAAAATTCTTTGAAATCATCTTTATTTTGTAGATAAATAAATATTTAGGAGCTTCTAATTCAGTGGTTGTCGTTTGTTGCTGTGTATCATATTTGTTTATCGTTCATTATTTTGTACTTAAATCAGGCCGTTAGTTTTCTCGTTTGAATTGTTTTACATTTGTCATTTCTGGGGCCTTTTATAGCTGACTATGAGGTATGGGTTTGCTCATTGTTGAAGACCGTACGGTGACCTATAGTTGTTAATATCTGTGTCATTTGGCCTCTTGTGGAGAGTTGTCTCATCGCCAATCATACCACATCTTGTTATTTTTATATGATGATCAAATCTGCTAAATAAACTACAAAAGCGTCCTTTTCGAAGGCCATGATTTATGATCCTGTAACGTTTGTTATTGGTAAGCTTTTTGTGTGTCTTTGTCGGATTTACTATCAACTACAATAATTGTTTATGCGTCTTTGTCAGATTTCTTTGTATGTCTGTTTGAATTCTACGGTCAGTTGTGTTGTGTGATGTGTGTTTTCACGATTTTTGCTGCTGTTAGTGTCGCATTAACTAATTATGTCTGTTAAGGCTACTCACTTAGTTTTGTCAGTATAACACAATTATAAACATCTGTCATACTAGTGGAAGGTTTAGCTAGCTATAAAACCAGGTTTCATCCACCATTTTCTTCGGAAAATGTCTGTACCAATTAAGAAATATGACAGTTGTTTTCCATTCGCTCCGTTGATTGATATATTCTAATATTTGATTTGACTTCCCCCTTTTTGATTTTATCTTAGAGTTTGATATTATTGTTAATTCTTTTTTTTGTCACAATCGACACATTTGAGCAAAAATAAGGTTTGAGTAAAATCAAAATATGAGGAACAGCCCTATGCTAAATACGTTTCACTAATTACACCATCTCTGTCATTTTGGGTAAAACATTTTTTAAGGTCAGGTTATTGTGTATATCTAGATATTAATGGAGAGATCTCTAAATAGGACAATTTTGTCCGTTTTTGCATAAATGCAAACCCTTTGTAGGCCTAAAGCAGATAAGTAAGGCATTTAAAATACACGTACTAGTATTGTTACTTATATTTGACCGACTACTGCCTTGAAAACATCTGAAAAATGCCTGGTTTTGATAGGATTTATAGGTTTTCAAAACTTTGTGATGCTTGAATTCGCCACATTCTTTATGTACTTATCCTTAGCCAGGTACATGTTATATTGTGGTTGCCATTGGTTGCTGTCTGACATATTTGTTTTCGTTCATTTTTGTAGCATAAATCAGACCGTTGCTTGAACATTTTATCATCCTGGAACCATTTATAACTTACTGTACGGTATGGATTTTGCTCATTGTTGAGGATATTACGATGACCTATAATTGTTTACACCTTTGTCATTTGGTTTATGTAGATGGATTTGTCATTGGTAATAATGTTGCACCTCGTTTTTTATCAAGGGCTAAACAAACGTCACAGCATACCTTCTCATTTCATATAGATGCACAATATTATCAATAATAGCACGAAACGGTACCAATTAAGTGTTTGTATTGGTCATTGACATATTTCTGTGATCACCATTTGCCGGTACGCTTAACATTTATAGTATGAAAATTCATATAGAAAGCCGTATTACACACACAAAAACATAATATGACCATCTTTTTATGACATCTATAAAAGTAGGGAAATAAGTAAAGATTTATAGTCAAGTTCTTAACATTGAAAGTAAACGAGCTAGTTATGGGTGGCTAACACTTCTATGTATGCTTATTGGCTAGGAAATTAATTTCCAAATACAAAGTATTTGAAGACCTCCATGAATACATGTCTTTTCTGATAAAATGATGCAATTGTTACAGCGTCTGAGATTTTTATAAGAGACAGAATTGCTGATTTTGATTATGCAAGAGTGGGAAAATATAAAAAGATTTATTGCTGTGCTCGAAACTATGATAGAATAATTTGGGAATTCAAGAAAAAGGACGGATTTAAGTGGCAACTATTCCCTTGGTTTCATGTCAACAATATGTGGGACAATCAACCTTCACTTCAAGATAAAAACCAGACCCTTCAGATAATAGATATTGGTTGGAATAACGAAGGGATTTACAAGTGTACAGCACTCTCCAGTGATAATAATGTTATTGCAAATCACAGTACCAAAATAGAAGTATACTGTAAGTCGTCTTAAACAATAGTTATAATATGAAAAGAATCTTTTGGCAATTGATACTTAAAAAATATCAGACAAAATGTACCAAAAAGAGCATAAGATACCAAGGGGACATTTAAAATTCATAAGTCAGTGTAAAACTAAAAACGACATTGCAAAAAACGAAAGACCATAAAACGCTGAACAAAGTTTTTACAAAAATATCGAACTCCAAGGTATATTCAAAAAGGGGGAAATCTATAAAACCTAACAAAATCAAAGACTACTCTAACCAACGGAACGACTGGAAAACAACTGTTATATTCCTGTCTTTGTATAGGCATTTTCTGCACACACAAAAAATGGTAAGTTAAATATCTCGCTTCCTTATTTGATAATTAGTGGCTAGTATGTTGAAAGCCTTCGATGTAGAGGCTCAGTGTAGAGGTTCTAATACGGGTATCATAAAACCTAATATTGACATTGAAAATGAGATCAATCTAAGGCGATTTCTGCTAGATGAATATTGCAACCTAAAAATAGTTCTAAAGATAAAATGTAGTTCACATATGTATTGGAAATTTAAGCAAACTGAGAAATTTACCTAATTATAAAAACTTAACGTTGATATTACGCTATAAAATATGATGAATGTCGGATTAACCATGTCATGTAAGCCATAAAATGCTTCTGCAGATATATAAAAATATTGTTTGCACATCACTGGCAGTAATGAGAAACTAGCCCAAGTAATGAAGTTTTCATGCTGATCAATGAACCAGAAAATGAATAAAGGTCAGGTGAACCCTGACGTTGTTTTGTTCATTTAATAAACAACGAAAATAGATTAAGGATGAAAAGTATGTACTTTGCCTTTACTCTAAAGGAAGTTATGATTTGTTTTGTCATAAATATTTTAAAAACAGATTTAAGTTTAAGAAAAAAAATCGTCAAATAAGTGACATTCCCAAATCCCACAAATGTAATTTGAATTTGACTGGTTAATTTTGATAAAAGATAATATATAAAAAACATTTTTGGGACCGTTTTTCTTAAGCTCGTGGTTTATCCATATTTTTTCCTAACTGATGGTCATGATTATTTTATAACAAACGTGAATCATAATCAGGGTAGTGGACGACCATCTGATTTTCTTGGAGTTGTGGACGATCATCAAATTTTCTTGGGAAGAAGGGAGGAGGATATTTTGTTTTAACAATATTTCAATCATTGTGAGGCACGATGTTTATTATTTTTTTTGGACAATATACTTGATAAATATCATGCGCAATTATTTCCAAAATTGTTGGTCATAATAATTATTTTCATGCTGTATCAAAATCCTACTCACCCAAGATTATTTAATGATTGTACCCTTAGTTTAAAATACGGTAAAAGACCTTATGTGTTCCAGACCTTACCGGTATTTCAAAGACATAAATAAAATATTAAGAAATGATATCAGACAATCCTATAGGCAAACGAACAAGAACAAGAAAATCATTAAGTACGGAACACAGAAAAGGATCTAGAAAAAAATGTGCCCTAATGTTCAGTACAATGAGAACATTCAGCTTCACATAAAAAACGATCCTTAAAACATTAACAAAATCCGATTTATAGTTATTAATCAAAATTTTATAAATTTCGTCCGAAGCTCTTTTATAGATTCACCTTTATCAGGAACGCTCAACCATAAACGTTTGAAAGCTGGGGATGTGAAAGTAAGTAGAAATGTGAGGAGCTATATGACCAAAAGGTATACATGAGGTAAGATGAACGGATTAATACAGACAATACATAGACAATCGTGTGAAAAATACCAAACAGCTGTTTTTAAATTCGTATGATATTCGTTGCTTTTTAAATACTCACCTACCTTTTATTGACGATTTAACTGATAATACTAAAGAAACAAAATCCATAGATGGTATGTTCAATTTTCAAGACTGAATTAACTAAGTTGAATATTTTTTTTTACAACATATCCGTTGACAAAAATGTAATATCCGTCCGTAAATACGAACACATATGATGTATCCCAGGTCTTCGTATACATTTTAAATATAATGGTACTGAAATCGAAAAAGAATGATTTTGTTCATGTAATTTTTATATTTATTAATGAAATACCTTAGCCCATATCTTCACTGACTGTTGAAAAACAGGACGGATTTTGCTTACATCTATATAAAAAAACATCATAAAAACACTTATCTTCATTATTTTAAGAACACAAAATGTATACTACACCTGTCTATTTAATATAAAAATGTAAACTCCGGTCAATTCAGGAACTTTAAGAAAAAATCCAATGAAAAACATATTTAATTCCTGGTAAGTTCTTCAAGTATGTGGCTGTGCATGATCGTATTCATCGGGTTTCAAACAAAACAATAACGGTCGGTTGTATGGTATGTGAACGGGAATAAAATCAATTGCATGTGTCAATAAAAATGTTCATACTTTTATTAATTTTTCTTGAGAAACACCGTTTTAGAGATTTACGTTAAAAAATATCAAAATGTTAAACATAGCTTGTGTAGACAGAGTCAAACCAGAAGCTTATGGGCCGAAGACACAGTATGGACGTGTCGGCGAAACAGTTACTTTTACTTGCACTGGTGATTTTGGATGCACTCCAGATGCTGCTAAAGATGTATCATGGTATGATGAAGAATGGGACGCTTTGGATGACGACACATTATTTCCAAGATATAATGTAACAAAGGTAGACAGGTATAATTTTATTTGGCTTTAATGTCCTATAATATGAACTTTAGTATCTGAAAATATAAAAAAAATATCACTTCTACTGAACTCATATAAAACCTTTGCTGAATTTTAAGAAATCTTAAAAACATTTATTATTTGGTCACTGCAAGTGGTATCAAACTTCCTCATTTATATGTTTGTGATCAAATTTAGTAGAAATGTTGATCAATCTATATACCTATATCCCTGCTATAATATTTTTTAGTAATGGGAATTTTACGTTTATTGAAATTTGATACGTCACAAACACGCCGCATACTGGATATAATGACAAATCGGTAAGTTTGGAACGGTACTGGTTTTAAATAAAGGCAACAGTAGTATACCGCTATTCGAAATTCATAAATCGATTGAGAAAAAAACAAATCCGGGTTACAAACTAAAACTGGGGAAAACATCTAAAATAAGAGGAGAACAACGACACAACAGAAACTCAACACTAAAATGCAACACACACAGAACTTGAGACTTTAAAATTTGAGATAGAAATCAGGAAGAATGTTAACTGGAAGCTACTTGACTTGGTTTACATATATTTCCAAGGTCAAAACACACCATTGAAGAATCCGTTTTTCAAATAACAACTATTGAACAGAAAGATTTTGAAAAGAATTTTACCTGTTATGTAACGTCGGCTTATCCTCAGGGGGATAAAATATTTATTGTCCAACTCAAAGAAGCAAGTAAGTAATACAAGTATTATCTTTATTATATTCTAGAATCAATTTACAAAAGTTTTGATGTGACTTTCATAGTGCATTTTGTCACCAAGGTTTACGGATACATTTATAGAGGACGAAATCCTCAGAACAGTAAGAAAGTCAATAAAAAGAAAATCAATATAAAAATCAATAATAAAATAGTGAGACAAAAACTGCTAACTTTTTTACAACAGTTGCACTTGCGCATTCACGCTGTAGATGGAGGCTGTAATGTTGCAAAGCATTCCATTTCCCACATTTGTATATATCTGATAACCAAAATGTATCACGAAAATAATGCGGACTTCGTCCTCTTTCACAGATTAAACCTGTCTCGTACCATTAAATGCAAGTTATGAATATATAAATACAACATATATATCTTGCATTCACACAATATTTCAGTCCTTGTGTTTCCTTTCAGGAAATCCTTGATGGAGGATTGCTGCTTTCAAGGAAGCTGTTGCACAAAAAGTTCGAAGTGGGAAAAAATTATTTATGTTCTTCCTAATCAAATTGACCGTTATAGAATATCTATGTTATAGATGTCTATTCGTCATACACAAAAAAATGGGCATCACTAGTAAAAAGTACAATTACAAAAATACCTAACTCCAAAGAAAATTAAAATCGAAAGTCCTTTGTCAAATGGCAAAATCAAAAGCTCAAACATCAAACAAATGGAAAACAACTGTCACATTCCTTACTTGGTATAGGCATTTCCTTCTGTAGAAAATGGAAATGTAAAGTAGGGCTTGTTATCCATTCCAGAGCTGGATCTGCCGGTCTTCCGGAACTCCGTAATGTATCCCCAGTCTTTGGCGGGAAACGTGATGGTCTGTCATTGGTTTCTTGTGTGATGTTTGTTGACTGTTGTTTCTATTTTCGTTTTTTTCTTTTGGTCAAAGTTGTTTTGCTTTTGGGCTTAATTTCATTGATGTCTTGGTAACTTCTTACTTTGTATTTCAATTCAAAATAGCAAGCATACCAAAAATGTTATGAAACATAGCCAAAAATATGAAAGCTGTTTTTTTGTATTACAAAAGGTATGCATATGTTTAAGTTGCAAACAAGTACTTGGAATTACGTTGTCTTACTATACATCTCACGTTGTTCAAGAATGCCGTCTTTAATTGATATACTAATCAAATATAAAATCTACAAATATGACTTCATTCAAGAAGATCCTGAATGTTAAAAAAATAATTCGTGTTTGTAATTTATAGGGGTGGAAATAACGAAGATGACTTGGATAACAGCGGAGGAAGTAAAGGGAATAGTTGCACCGTGTGTTGTAATATTGACACTGGTATTTGTTTTCACTACGGTGTTTTACTTCAGAATAAAGCTGTTTATCCTTTCACGGATACCTTACTGGCATTTAATGGACCAAGGTAAATCTTATTTTATCAAAAACTCTGTTTTATATAATTTGTAACATTTAATTCACCCTGTTTCTGCAAGAGCCAATAATGTGTTCATTGACCAAAAAAAAATATATTGCATTTCAGAAATGTTAACAGATTTTGATGGTGGAAGAACCAAATATGTAGAGCCAATGTCTTCAGATTTATTTCATACTACAGTTTTCTTAGACAAATTATCAATCTACTAATAAAAATAATAAATGTTGCTCAATATGCCAGTCACGACTTACTTGTGACAACGATGTCATATCAAAAATTACATCCCCGTACTAGAGTCTGTCGCTTTATAAATATTTTATTTTCAATATTTAAGTCTCCCAAACGAAGTTTGGAAAGACTTATTGTTTTTTCTCAGTTCTTCTTCTTCTTCTTCTTCTTCTTCTTCTTCTTCTTCTTCTTCTTCCGCCGCTTCTTTAAATTTGAACTTGTCCGCATCCGTTCTCCAAAATCGCTTGTTAGATTAACTAAGGGTTTCACGAGATGTGAGACTAACTAACATGTCTTGTGGTGCAATCAGGGTTTTGCTTGTGTAATGGGATTTATAAAGGGGTACTTTGAGGGGCAAAAAGGAAGGAGGGGTTTACTATAGAACCCTATGGGATTTTTATTTTTTTTTTATTTTCAAATGATTATAACTTGAAAACAGTTAGTGAAAGACACAATCTTTATGATTGAAAATGTTCTAAATAATAAAGCACATTAAATGAAATAAAAGGTTAGTCCTAAGGGGTAGCCCCCACTCCCTGCCATTTCAGATATTTTTCATATCTTGTAAGTGGTCAAGATCCCCACCCCTAAACCATATATATTCTAGTTTGTCATGATAAAGCACATCAAATGAAATACAGAGTTAGTCCCCAGGGGTCACCCGACCCCCTGCCCTTTGAGAAAGTTCTAATATATTATAAGTGGTCAAGACCCCCACCCCTAAACCATATATATTATGGTTGGTCATGCAAAGATGATTTGAATGATAAACAGGGATAGTCCCAAGGTTGTATCCCGACCCCTGTCATTTGAATAATGATTCATTTATTCCATCAACGTCTTTGGAATAATCTTGATGATTCAACTCGTGATGCGGAATCAATAAATAAATTTAAAACTGAACTAAAAAAACTTTACCCTCAGAGTAACATATTTGTACCGAAGCAATATGAGTTTGGAATTCGAAAACTGAAAATTATTCTGACCCAACTTCGATGTTTTGCATCATCCTTAAACTATGATCTATACAGGGTCAATATTATTTCTGACCCTTCTTGCCGCTGTGGTGTTAATCGTGAAGATTCCTATCATTTCTTTTTTAAATGTATATTATATTCAGACATACGAAATAAAATGTTTGAAAGTCTGCGCTGGCTTCCAAAAGATTGTAAAATTAACATAAAACTACTAAACTCGGGTAGTTGTCTTCTTTCTCTAGAGCAAAACCAAACCATTTTCAAAAATGTCTTCGAGTTTATTAAAAGTTCGGAAAGATTTCTAATTGTCTAGATAGCAAACCATGATCGCACACACATCATCATCTAAGTAAAAGTCTTCCTTTTTTTTGTATTTTTGTTTGTTTAATTTGTATTTTATTTTTTGTTTTTGTTTTCTAAATATTCATTTATTTATTTTATATATTTATTTTTTCTGTATTATTGTTTTCTTTCTGTCTTCACTTTTCTGTCTTTTGACATAAATCCATATATATTAAATAGATATACCATTCTATACATGCATGCTCATACATATATTTTGTATTATATTGCTATAAATGTTGAATGGAGAAGACTTCATAAGTCTATTTGACTTGTGTCTTATCCAATTTGTACTTGAACAAATAAAATATGTTTAAACTAATTTGAATATGTTCAATTATCTTGTTAATGATCAAGATTCCCACCCCTAAACCATTTATATTCCTGTTTGTCTTGTCATGAAGATTTGAATGGTATAGGAGAGGTCCCCAGGGGTCCCCTAACCCCCAATGTTATAAAATCTTGTAAATGGTCGAGATCCCGACCCCTATACCATATATATATTCCTGTTCGTCATGTTCCAAAGATTCTAATAATATATAGGGTCAGTCCCCAGGGGTTCCCCTCCCCTCCCCAAATGTTCTAATATCTTGTATATGGTCAAGATCCCCACCACTAAACCATACATATTCCTGATCGTCATGTCAAAAAGATTTGAATGATATATAGGGTCTGTCTCAAGGGTTTCCCCCCACCCCTATTATTCTAATATCTTGTAAATGGTCGAGATCCCCACCCCTAAACCATATATATTCCTGTTCGCCATTTTAAGAAGATTTGAATGACATACAGGGTCAGTCCCTAGGCGTCACTTATGCATATCACTTTACTGGACCAAACCAATTTGGACTATTGGACTTTGCCCAATGTCAGGCGACCAGGGGAATGACGAATTATGGGAGCTTCGTTTTGGAGACTTTGTAACGGCATCCTGTTACAATCATTTCTTGTTAGATTTTGTTTTATTATGCCAAGCAAATTGTTTATCGCAACCCGTCTTTTATAAGCGGTTTTTACTTGTTGATGTTCTTAATTTATTTGATGATATATATTGTTGGCATGGTATTATCTATTGAAATTGCTTAAATTTAGTCCAAAAAAAATTTGAAATCGTGAATTTATCATAATTGTGATCAGTCATTATTCATTTTTATTCTAAATTAGGTACGAAAAGTTACCATGCATTTATCCTTCATGAAGACGAGGATATAGAACTTGCGGAAGGAATTCAACAAAAATTACAATCAGACGGTTATAATGTTAAAATATCTGGCAGCATTAAAGGTGGAACTGGTAAGATCAAATATATTGATTTCTGCACATTTTTGGGGTCGTTCCGTTTTAATAAACAAATTTAAATGTGTGACGTATATGTTTCAGTGAATTTGCAAAATAAGTGTTTTTTTGTAAAAAACTAGAATTTCTGGGGTTTGGAATAATCAAAAGATTTGATTAGGTTAGGTCACTCCAAATTAAATACCATGTTCTTCGGATTTTTATGTACAAGAATTTGAGCGAAAACTTTGATTTTCATTTTTCCCTCACATTAATATTTTAGCAAGCTATTCTGAAATTTTCTACGAAACTCCTGCTTTATAAAGAGCTTTAAATATTGTTTCAACATAAAATTCTAATTGTTGATTTCATTTAAATGGAGCGATAATTCAGAAAGTCTTTAGGTAATGGTTTATTTCGTGAAATTTAGTAAACATACATGGTTCTTTTTAATAACACTATGGGTGCTAGTTATCTAGGCTATTCCAAGATTTTTTTAACACAGACTCTCTAAGAATAAGAATAAATTGAAATTTGCAAATATCTAAATATTAGTAAGATGCGGTCTTTATAATCGTGAACTGCATAGTTAAAATACGTTATACCCACAAAATAAATTATAATAGTAAAAACAAAATAGGGGAAAATTGGAGAAGATACCTGGATCAAAATACTTATTCTTAGGCATGCACTGTAATGGACAGGTAATCATCGAATCAAAATAGATCAATTTAATCTCATATTTTTTCTCTTGTCACTTATTTTTGTTAAAATCACATAATGGATATTGTAATGGCATGGAAGTTAACACGGACACCAAATACTATACGAAATTTTAAATATTTTTTAATATTTTATATAATTAATTGCATTCTAGATTTCTAGAACTTTGTAATCGTTTTAAACGTCGAGTCAATGTCTTCATAATCACTGTATTAAAATAAAATAACCGGTATAAATGTTAAAAAATAAAGTCTATATTAGAAAAAAAAACATTACCAATTTATGCATGACATCTATGTGGTTTAAAAAGTAAAAAAGGGATTTTACAAAATCCCTAGCAATAATTTCAGGAATTTTACAAAATAACATAACATAGTGATTTTTTAAAATCTCTGAATATTTCATGGATTTTACAATTTCACTGTATCATATACATATGTATTTTAAAACTAACATAGAACATTGTATTTCATTTTTTTGTCCTTCTTGTATGAGAATTTAAAATATTTTTGCACTCCTAAATAACATACAAATAATCAATCAATGAATCAACAAGCTTGCTTTATTTACAGTTATATGGCAGAAAGTACAAGAATTTGCACAAGACAGTAAGAGTTTGATAATTATTTATCCTTCGGAATATTCAATAGTTAATTCGAATAACACTTTTGAAAGTTTGGTGGCAAGTAGACAGTACTTCATTCCAAATCTTGTTACAGTTGTAAAAAAAACTTCGAGAAAAGGAGACCCAGTTGAATTCATAGAAACTGACAGAACATTTGTAAGAATCAAATACCCACCCGATCACAATTGTAGTACATACCGGCAGGAAAATTTCTTCTGTAAACTTAAACTTCGGATGCCAAGGCAGACCGAGAATAATGTTTGGTGTTGTTCAACTAAAAAGGGACAAACACATCAAGGGGCTGAAGATACAGAACCACTGAACAAACTTATAGTATGTAACACTCAACAGGATGAAGTATTGGCTGATCGTATGAACCAACCTGTATAGTTTTTAAGGAAATTGATTTGCAAAAACCCTAAATAACAATCCTCAAATATAAATCTTCTACGAGAATTGTTTTTATATATATAAATGGTGTTTTCGTGGTTTTTCTAAGATATAACTCCGTTTGCATGGACAAAATCTCAAAAAAATGCATGTTCATCATGTTCACGTGTACATTCATGTGTAGTTCACCTCAACAATGTTAAGGATACTATCGAAGTAACAATGCCTTCACGTCAACATGTTCGTGGTCATCCAATCATCTGACATTTATAAACATACCGCCATTTGAATAGGCTTACAGTTATATTTTGGAAAAACTGTCTATGTGCCATGAGATGGAGGTCACATGACCCGTATTTCATTTTCAGTGACTGTGAAACTGAAAGAATACTTGTTTTCAGATTTTGTTCATATTTCATAATAAACAAAAATTTGAAAAGGGGGATTTTCATAAATCAAAGTAATTATATTAACTTCACATCAGGTGTATGTGTTTGTCCCAAGTCAGGAAGTTAGTCAGTGGTTTTCTTTAAATATCGTTCATTATTTTTTTGTATTTTAATTTTAGAATAAGTTTGTGATGGCGGACTTTGAGAATGTAATAAATTTATTCACGTCTCATGGTTTAACAAATGACATTTCGGCGTTCGTCTAATTTTGAAGACAATATGTTGACCTCAAAATGGTTAAGGGATTATGTGACTACTTTACCGCATTCCTTAAAACGTTCCAGTGCCATATTGAAGATTACAGCGATTTGTTCGTCTTTCTCTTAGCAAATAGTTATTTCCAATGGCCCACCCATATTTTTAGCTCACCGGGGCCCTTCTAGCCCCATGTGAGCTTATGCCATCACTTGGCGTCCGTCGTCATCCGTCGTCTGTCGTCGTAAACTATTTCAAAAATCTTCTCCTCTGAAACTACTGGGCCAAATACCTTCAAACTTTAACTAAATGTTCCTTAGGGTATCTAGTTTATAAATTGTATCCGAAGTTTTGATCTATTGACAAACATGGCCAACATGGCTAAAAATAGAACATAGGGGTCAAATGCAGTTTTAGGCTTATATCTTAAAAACTAAAGCTTTTAGAGCAAATCTGACATGGGATAAAATTGTTCAATTGGTCAAGATCTATCAGCCCTGAAATTTTCAGACCAATCGAACAACCCATTGTCGGGTTGCTGCCACTAAATTGGTAGTTTTAAGGAAATTTTGCAGTTTTTTGTTATCTTGAATATTATGATAGATAGATATAAACTGTAAACAGCAATAATGTTCAGCAAAGTAAGATCTACAAAAGAGTTAATAAGACCATAATTGTCAATTGACCCCTTAAGAAGTTATTGCCCTTTAAAGACAATTTTACACAATTTGTTCATCAAGTTTGCTAACATTTAAAAATCTTCTCCTCTGAAACTACTCGGCCAATTACCTTCAAACTTTAACTAAATGTTTCTTAAGGTATCTTGTTTATAATATGTATCCGAAGTTTTGATCCATTGACAAACATGGCCGCCATGGCTAAAAATAGAACATAAGGGTCAAATGCAGTTTTTGGCTTATATCTCAAAAACTAAAGCTTTTAAAGCAAATCTGACATGGGGTAAAATTGTTCAATTGGCCTGAAATTATCAGACGAATCGAACAACCCATTGTTGGGTTTCTGCCACCAAATTGGTAGTTATAACAAAATTTTGCAGTTTTTTGTTATTATCTTAAATATTATTATAGATAGATATAAACTGTAAGCTGCAATAATGTTCAGCAAAGTAAGATCTACAAAAAAGTTAATCTAACCAAAATTGTCAATTGACCCCTTAAGGAGTCACTGCCCTTTAAAGACAATTTTACACAATTTGTTCATCAAGTTTGCTAACTATCGTAAAGAGGTTTTACTAAAACTGCATGTATAACAATAAAGACGTCTAAACTGTATGAAGTTGTATTGATGACTGAAGTACAAGATAACGTCATAAGTAAACGACGTTAGATATACAATAATACCGCGTTACGGTCACGTATTCTTCTGTGCATTATTTCCAACATTCTCCGGCCCATGAAAAGTGAAAATTTACAACTTCTAAAATAATTAAAGTCTCTTTGTGAAAATAATAAAAATGGAATTAACTTCAAAGTCCATCATAAAAATTAAAACTTTAAAATCACAGTTTATAATACGGTGTCACGTTTATTTAACGTTCGATTTTCTGTTCAAGTTCTCACTGTAGTCCAAGTCCTGATTCGGTCTACTGATACACGTTTCTCCTTTCGATCTTTCGGTGTGTTCGAATCATTGCCGTGTTCCTTTGTGTCACATAAATTGACTTCATTCGTACTTATTTCTAATGGGTAAAGTTACTTTATTGGCCTTGATGTTATTCCGCTTTTCGTCCTCAACACGACTGACCTTATAAGTCCATCTTGTCCAATAACAAGTTCTTTTATAATAGCTAGTTGCCAATTAATCCTGGGAGTTTCATCGTATATTTGAACAATGTCACCAATTTTGATATCATGTTGATTATTACCATTGATGCGATGAAATTCACGTAAAGCGGTTAAATATTCCTTCTTCCATCTACACCAGAAATGCTTAATTATCTGGCATTGTACTGTATAAAGTTTGTTGGTGGCAGAATGCGTAAAGTCTTGTATAAGGTTCTCATCGACATGTAGTTTGCCAGGATACGGTTATGATACGATTTTCCTTCCATATAATAAAGTAGATGGAGTGAGTGGGTCCTCGTCTATCGGATCTGTAGATATGTATGTCAACGGACGGTCATTTAGGATTGCCTCTACTTCTATTATTGTAGTATTAAGTACATCTAAACTCACATAAGATCGTCCTAAAACTTTTTTGATACAATTTTTTGTTAGTCCAATGAGTCTTTCCCAAAAACCGCCATACCAAGGCGCTCGCTTGGGTATGAATGTCCACTCTGTCCCTTTGACTATTTAATGTTGCTTGAAGTGTTGGTTATGAGGTTAGCTTTTCAATTTCTTTCGCTGATGCTACGTATGTTGTCGCATTGTCGGATACCATGATTTTTGGTAGTGATTTCCTACTTGATAATCTACGGAAAGCTAAAATAAACTGTTCTTCTGTTAAATCTGTAACTATTTCCAAGTGTACAGCTCTGGTGCTTGCGCACGTAAAAAGACATATGTATGCCTTACCGTCTTTTCCATTCTTATTCCTAACTTTTAACGCTCCAGTAAAATCTACACCAGTTACAGTGAAAGGAGGTGCTTCGCGCAGTCTGTCTTTTGGTAAGGGTGGTGCTTCTGTAGTACGATAATGTTGTCCTGTAATTTTTTTACATGCGATACATTTACGCAAAATGGTTTTCACGTTTTGACGGATTTGCGGTATCCAGTAAGATTGTCTCAATAAGGTAACTGTGCTACTTACTCCTGAATGTAAGCTTCGCTTATGTGCATCTTGTATAATCAAATTTGTGAGTTGGTCATGTGCTGGTAAAAGTATAGGATATTTCGTCATATCGCTAATCGGTACATTGTGTATTCTTCCTGCACAACGAACTAAGTTGTCCTCGTCCAAATATAACTTAAGTTGTTTGAACAGAGAATGTTTTGACTTTCCAAGTCTTTATAAATCGTCGTAAATATCCAAGTATCTGTTTTGTTGAATGTCTTTAATCCACATTAATGCTGATCTGTCTATTTCATTTACGGTCAACGGACTAGTAGTCCATTGTCTTGTCCTACAGTTTTGAATAAATCTAATGACGTAGGCAGTTACATGTAATAATTTCTTGTAAGTGTCAAACCTTGAAATGTCTACAATTCCAGAAATATGTTTAATGTTAATAGTATTCCTCTCTGTTTTATCCTCGGTAGTTTGTGTCTCTTCTGTGTCTTCTAAATTTGTAAGAATTAGTGTTTCATTTTCATTCCATGTGGGCCACACGTTTTCATCATTAATCCACGTTGGTCCCTTAAACCAAAGGTCGCTCTCGGCAAATTTGTCAAAGTCTACTCCACGCGATAAAAGGTCGGCTGGATTTGAGTTCGTTGGGCAATATTTCCATTGGTATTTCTCCGTTAGTTTCTTGATCTCTTGTACTCTGTTTCTTGTGAAGACGTTAAGCGGTTTTGTTGTGTTTATCCACTGCAAGACAATTTGACTGTCAATCCATAAAAAAGCGGTAGAAAAATGTATATTTTTTCCTATATAGTCTAATAACCTTGCACCAATTACTGCTCCCATTAACTCTAGTTTTTGGTATTGTTATCTTTTTCAGCGGAGCAACTCTGTTTTTTGCCATTACAAGCGAACTTTGTTTTTCTGTTACAATATACGCGCATGATCCGTAAGCTTTGACACTTGCATCTGTAAATATATGTAGGGTTGAGTTCGAAATATTTCCCTCTCTTGTAGGTACATACGGGATATTTCCAATTCAAGAGCTTTTTCTGTATGTTGAGTTATTTCTGTCCATTGTTTCGTAAATTCTGACGATAACGACTGGTCCCAATCTAGTCCATTCTTCCATAACTCCTGTAAAAATATTTTATTTCTCACTGTAATTGGGGTTAAAAGTCCCAACGGGTCGTATATTCTAGATGTTTGTTTTAGTACATCTCGTTTTGTATAAGCTCTGTTTTTATTACCAAGTGCATCCTTTTTAGCAAATGTAATTGTGTCTTTCTCAGCATTCCATTTCAATCCAAGTACCTTAATAATTTTGTCATTGTCCAGAACACTGTCTTTTCTGGCAAATTCCTGCAACATCTCGCTGTTTGAAGCCCCATGATCGAAGATTAAATCCTGCGTTGGCAAATAATGGTACAGTCTGGTTGTAGTAATTTATTAAATCGTTTTCTTTCGAAAAACTTGAAATAATGTTGTCGACGTACAAGTCTTTTGTTAGCCTCTCTGTCCAGGTGCACACGTTGTCTTTCAAATGTTTCAGCAAAACAGCATTCAAAATAAAAGGGGAGCATGTTGCACCGAAAAGAACGGATTTAAAACGGTAAGTTACTAACTGTCCTGTTGGGTCTGTTGGGTTGCTGTACCAATAAAATCTTGTAACATCTCTGTCCTTTTCTTCTAGTCCCACATTTAGAAACGCTAACGTTAGAGACTATTCTTATTGGGGTAGTAGCTGAATCCTTTTTCACCGGGTGGTGTGGAATATAATGCACTTTTCTGTCAGTCGGAATTTTGTCGTCAACTTTTTCTATGAAGCCCTTTCTCTCTTGTTCTGTGATGATTTCTCCATATTTTGTTAACATGTTTTGATCTTTGCTTAGCCTATTAACAACGTTTACTGTTCGTCAATATGCAATATTTCTATTCAATGGTAGTGTTGGGTGGTCCTCTTTCCATGGAAGTTTTACAAAGTAGCGGTTGTCATGGTAACGGATCGACGATTTTTCATACACTTCCTGGAATTCCTGGTTAAACTTAGA